GCTTGGCTTGTGTGATCAGACTCCCTCCCCTAGGATGGAAGTCTGCTTCCTTTCATCTCTCACCAAGCTCGTGGCCCTCTTTGCACCGACAGTCTAGACTCCTTTGGTCAGCACTAAATCCTCTCTGCTGATCCTGCTGTCCTAGAAGCTACTGTCTGGCCCCCTCCCTGTGCAAGCTGAAGCCCTGGGGCAGAGCACTCTGCCCCAGACAGCACATTGCTCCGAGGCATGAGGCCAGCACCTGTGGTCCATGGAGACCAGCATCCTGCATCAGGGCCAGGCTACCGAAGGTAGGCAGCTGGCATTCATGGGGCCAGGCCACATGGCAGAGAGTGACGTTAGGGGTGGGGTCACGGACAAGGTAGACTGGCGGGTGGTTGGGAGGGGAGGTACAGAGGGAGGTACAGAGAGGAATTCTTGACGTGAAGAGCAAATGGCTACTTTCCATCTGGGTCCCCACCAGTGGGTGTGGATTTGCAGGAACATTCCAAGAGGGGGCTACAGACTAGCCTGAGGCAAATTTCATCATTTTGAGGGATATTGTGTATTTTTCAAAGCTCAAAATGACACTACTTAACTGTTCTGTAAAAAGTTAAAACAATGGAGCACCAAAGATTTGAACATTTTACTCCGTGTAAATTTTATCCCCCCTCAAAAGGTAAAGAAATGTTAACCCTGGGGAATGATATGAACTGTTTGGAGATGAAGTTTACTCAAGTAAACTTCTTGGAATTGTAACTTACTTGGAATTGTAAAAAAATTACAATGAATTGATGGGTGGATAAATATGTGATACAGGAAAGAGAGTCACATGTTATGTGTAGGGTCCAAATGCTTGGTCAGTGGATGTTCTCTGTAAAATTCTTTGAACTTCTTTGCCTGTTTGAGGATGCTCATCATAAAAGGTTGAGGAAGAGTTACTAGATGTGCTGGGATGCTTGTGAGGGGAGTGGTTTAGAGACGTGGCAACGATAGACTAGCTATTCCTCCAAATGCTTGCTCACGTGTGGTCAGAACAAGCTGGTGATTGGTCTTCCCACTTTCCCAGATGAGCCACCTGGGGGAGGAAGGCAGGGTGGGCTGGGGAAAGCTGCCCGCTGTGGGCGTCAGGAACCCTGGCTCTGCTGCACATGACCCTCATGATCAGCAGGTCCCCCTCCGGCTCAAACCTTGGGTCTTCTTCACTACGAAGTTGGTGGGTTGGGCCAGGCCTGGATGATTCCGTGTGCAAACCAGCCACGTGATTTGGGGAATTGACTGGCATCCTTTTTTATACATCTTGTTTTCTCTCTCTCCTCCCAACACGTTGTTTTGTGTCTGGCATCCTTCCCTCTGGATTTAGAAAGTGCCTGTGTTTGGGCTGGACCTTGGAATCTTCAGTGCTTACTGCCCCCCCCCACACAGTGGGAGCCCATGTTTATAGAAGGAGGATAATTGACCCCAGCGAAGAGTGAGGGCAGGCTAGCGGGGTCACTGGGAGCCAGCACAGCTCTCCTGATCCCCTGCAGGCTTTCTGTAGCCCAGACATCCCACCTAATTGCTCCTAATACCGCAGGAGATGGGCCAGCCAGCCTAGGTGTCTTCTCCTGTGTCTTACTGAGATTTAAGTTGCCATAGATACAGTAATTTATATTCTTCCTGGTACATAATGACCATAAATCGGGAAGAGGAAGGCCTGACATAAATCATGGAAGCGAAGCAAAGTGGTGTCCAGAGCATCCCCGCGACTCTCCTGCAGGACGTTGGGAGCCACACTGCCTTCCCTCTTCCTGGGTCCTTGTGGCGCTCCAGAGCTGTGCTGCTACGGGAATGCCAGTTCTCAGCGGGCGACCTCTCTGCTGGCCTCCCCTATGGTGATCTGTCACTCACAGGCAGAATCAGGGTGGCCAAGCAAGGAGAGAGAAGAAATACATCCCGGCCCTGCTGAATGTCTGTGGGCCATAGGTCCAGGGGAGCCTTTGTCTGAAATACTCACGGCGGTGGGCAGCGTAGTTGAGGTTGGTCTGCAGGCAGGAAAATCTGGAGAGCGGATTACTCTTTTCTTAGGGGAGAGCGACTTCCACACGGAGCCCCACAGGAGTGGTGAGGGTCTATCATTGTAACTTTCAAGGGAAAGAAATAAATCTTATTTGTTCTGCAGATGCAAAAATGTTGTTAAATGCAGGAATACTTGGACAATAAGGACATTTGCCACGATCCGCTTGTGTCAGGCTGTGCTGGGCTGAGCTAAAGACAGACGGACTTGGTGGGAGTGATACAGCCACCCCCCACCCCATCTGGCTCTATCACCCCCCAGTAGTGACACCGGCAAGTCAGTTTCTTGATGCTTCCATTTCTTTACTTAACTGAGCAAATACCTCTCCTGGTTCACTCTCCCAGTTGATCAGAATAAAGCAATAAATATGATTTTTTTCTTTCTTTTTATTTAGCAATTCTTTTTTGTTTGTTGTCTTAGGGGTGGAGTAATCAGGTTTATATATTAGGTAATTAGGTTTATTTTTTAGTGGAGTTACTGGGAATGGAACCCAGGACCTCCTGAGTGCTAAGCATGCACTCTACCACCGAGCTATACCCTCCCCACCCCGATGTTTAAATAGGTGATAAAAACACACAATGACCATGTAGGCTCTGGCTATTGGTAGTCTCAGTTTATCAACCTGACACCTTCTGAGAGAAGGAAGACCTTGGAGACACTTCTTTCCATTTTCGAAGGCTTCATTAAAAGCAGCCCAGCGCAAACCTGCCCAGCCTTTGGCTCCTCCTCTCCGCGGTGCGTTCGCAGGGCTGCTTGGTTCCTGACCTGGCCGTAGTGATAGAGACTGGGAGACCTCAGAAGTGACCTGTGCCCCACAGTGGGACCCAACAGTGGCCAGGGTCCCTGCCTGCAAGTAAGTTCTGGGCCTCGACCAGTAAATGAGTAAGCCAAGCAGCCCTCACTGGTGCACAGCACTTTATAGGTAACAATTTCTGAGTACAGAGACCTCCGTGTAAGCGGAACAAAATGCCTGCGGTGTCCTGCCCTTTAGAGGCATGGCATGCTTTCGTGCTTATTGAAACAGAAAGTGCACTAAGAGAGGCGCTTTAAAATGAGTTGCTAATTTATTAATCCCAACAATGACAAAATCTATATGGGAAAAAATCACGGAAGATCCACGTATGAGGTGATGCTGTGTTTTCCGTCTCTTGAACCAAGCTTGGTGCGCACTTGAATTCACAGACCGCCGACAATGCGGCTTCAGCCCCACCAGGGGTCGCTGATGATCTCATTTACCGAGTCCTTCTGCAGCCCTGCAGGGACGGTTGTCAGCAGGACCAGAGTGGGGACAGGAGCTGGGGAGGCTGGCGGACAAGCCGGCCACCGCTCCCCTCGGCTGTAGGGAGGCCCCGGCGGGCTGGGCCAGCCCGGAGCCACTCTTCCACTCCCGTAGCGCATCCCATCTCTATTCCTGGGCAGAGAAATAGACGGCCGCCTGCAAACCAGGTGATCCAACCTGCGCTTTCACAAACCACCTCCCTGGGCCCACCCCAGCAGTTTAAGGGGCTTGGCTGGGAGGGATGGCAGCTCCCGTGGGCCCTCCTCTCCTAAGTGACCTGGTAAGGGAGTGAATGTCTGAGTGAGTGTTTGATGGAAGGGGCAGGGGAACCCGCGGGTGGCTAAACGTTTGTGTAGAAGAGTAAGTATTAACCCCCATCAGTTCTTCTCAGGCCTGGGCACGTACTCAGGAGGTAGAAAGATGGCCAGGGGTCAAACCCTGGGGGCAAAGTCCTGACTATGGAGTGAGCCAGACTTCGTTCTGGCCCCAGCCTGACCACTTAAGTCTGTGATCTTGGGCAAGTGGGTTACTCCTCTGAGACACTCCGCTCCCAGCACCCCCGTCAGGTGGGGATGATTCACCTTCCCACATAGGCTTGCTATAAGGACCAAGAGAATATGTACGATGTTCTTTACAAACTGTAAGTGTATGATGCTCAGAACTCCTCAATTCTCTCCCTGAGGTAATCAGAGCCTCTCCAGGAGCAAACGGGAGAAACCCCAAGCTATCAAAGTCGTGATCTGCCCCTGTCCTGAAGAGGTCACTCTCCAACAGACCCAGAACCCCAGGTGTTCTTGGTACTAGGTGCTGGCAGAGGAGAGGCGGGCTAAGAGAGGTGCCTGGGTTCCCAGGGTCCAAGGTCATGGCTGAGACCTGAGTATAGAGCCAGGGAACATTCTCGGTGAGGCAGGGCAGGGCAGGGCAGGCTGGCTCATGGTTCTCACCCACTTGTTGATTTATTTATTTGCTTAACCCACCTTATTTGGAGTGGGCTGCAGCATACTGGGCGCTGTACCAGGCTGTGGGCAGACAGCAAGAACAAAGCAGACATGGTGTCTGCATCCGGGGGTGGGGGGAGCTGAGGGTCTCCAGAACAAGGCTCTAGATTTGACCTTCTCTGTTTGCTCCTTAACCATTTCTGATTTGATGAACAAAAGCAGGACCAAGTCGTTGCAACCGTTTTTTCCCCAAAGTGCAGTAGAATGAAATGAATGCTTTCTGTGAAAATGTTTTAAATATTAAAGTGATATAAAATTGGAGTTAGCTTAAACGAGAAACTGGAGGGAAGTATTCTCTCAGTGGAGGCGGGGAATTCTGCTATGTTACTCGTACACGTTCCGTGTACACTCTTCTTGGGGCTCCTGGCACTTTCTGCCCAACAAAGGTATTCATACTGCTTCTGACAGAGGGTGTTACCCACCCACAGGTTCATCTGTTCAACAAACGATGTGGGTCATCGGTGACAGCAGGGCCCAGCATTGGGTGTGAGCAGTACCAGGGGGGGAGGGGGTCCCACTTCCTGCTCCCCACCGTCTCTGCAGCTTGTAGAGAGCCATGTGCCCTGACGCTACAAAACAAGTCATGTGAGTGTTCCAGGGGCAAGCAGAGAAAACTGAGGATGAGGGAGCCACTCCTGGCTAGGGGCTCCTGGGCTTCCTTCCTGGGACATGTGGCATTTGAGTTCAAGGCCCACCTTGAAAGCAGGGCAGGAGTCCAATGCTTGGGGGACAGTGGAGAGGAGAATCCAACAGGAATCTCAGAGGAACCACTGAGCCAGGAAATAAGCAAAGCAAGGTGATGGGCACTGAGGAATCCTGGGGAATGCTGCCGAGGAACACGGAGGGGCAGAGGGCGTGAAAGAGCTGGCCAGGACCAGGTAGAAAGGCTTGCACACCAGGCTGAAGAGCTGGAATGTTATTCCTCAGGTCCTGGGAAGCTACTGAAAATTTCTGAGCTTAAAAATGATAAGACCAGAGCAAAATTTAAAAAGTAATGTATTACACACTGTTGACATATGAAATAGATGAACATCAGGCACCTACTGTATAGCATAAGGAACTATATTCGATGTCTTATAATAACCTATAATGGAAAAGAATCTGAAGAAGAATATGTAGATACACATATATATACATATAACTGAATCACTTTGCTGTACACCTGAAACTTTGTAAATCACTGTACTCCAATTAAAAGAAAAGAAAGTAATATAGGATAGTGTTAACAGTGAGTTGAAACTGGACAGGGGAGAATGAGGAAGAGAGGTTGGTTAAGAGGTTTGTATTACAATCATCTGAGGATGCTTGAAGCACGATTGTGATGGTGGGAAGAAAAGTGAGCAAATTCAAATGATAGGGTCCAGGAAAAGCCTTGGGACTTGGCAACTGTGGATAAACCATGGAAAGTGGGGTGTGGGGAGGTGTAAAGAATGAGTCCAGCCAGGGCTCCGAGCCTGACTGGTGGGTGAGATGGCGGTTCTGATGATGGACATGGAGAAGCCAGGAGGAGAGAGGCTGAGGGAAAAGGGAAGTGAAAAGTATGTTCAAACGTATTGAGTCCCTAATCTCTCAGTGCTGAAACAGAGAACGTCACCTGGAGAAAAGATGTGGGAATACGGCCACTGGTTGTGCTTAACGGTTGTTGGTGCACTGGGCGGGCAGTTTACTGCACAACCACAGGAGGCGCTGCTGTGTTAGTCTTGCTGGGAACGGTGCTCGCTGGAGCTGGGCCACTTGGCCACCCTGTGTGGGGCGGATACTTATCAACCGAGAAGCAATCACATGCTGTTCGAGCTCTTGGTTCTGTTTGGCTGTGACTCATTATGATCTTTTTCTTGTTGCAGTTATCGCCTGTGTGATCCTTCTGAACAAAAATTGTATGGAAAATCACCTCTCTTTGGACAGTATTTTGTTCTGGAAAACCCAGGGAAAATCCAAGTGGGAGACCCTGTGTACCTGCTCAGCCAGGAATGGGAATCCTATGTCTTGGGATAGCAGAGGCCTTTAAAAAAAATGTTCTCAAAAATGCCGACACTTGAAACCTAGTGTTTTGAAGCTGACACCCTAGCGTTTTTTTCAGATCTGTAATCTCAGGTTTTTCATCTTTTGGACTTTTGTCTTAGTGCATCCAGCGTCCCAGTGTGCGAAGCAAAGAATAGTCATGATAACTTAATAGGACTTCAATAAGTCACTTACACAACAAGACAGGATTCAAGAAATCTTTTGTTTAACTATGGTTGTAGAATCATTCTTTCTCCTTCTTCACCATTCCCAACCCAGAGGACTAACCTCCATCATCTCATTACTACTCCTTAGGGAAAGAGGAGAGAAGAGACAGAGGAAGCTTGGGGAAGTGAGAAGCATGTTCTGGAATCTTTTATTACCATGTGCCTGGAGCATGCAGTAGAAATTAACTAGCTCTCCAAATAAGGCTGGCCTCTCACTTCACCTTCCTCCTCAAGTCCTAGACCAGCTTTTGAAAGGGTGCACAGAGCCTGACCTTCAGGAAACATGCAGAATGTTCATTTTCCACAGGTCATCTTGGATCTGGCTCTGTTGCTCCTCGGACAGTGTCCAAGGGGATTTGGTGGGTCCCTAATAGCACGTCGTGCCTCTGGGCTGTAGGACAGCAGAGATGTCAGTGTAGGAAATCAGCTCTTGAGAGCAGTGTTGCTGTCAGACTTTGATGTGGAACATGTGGAGAGTAAGACAAAATCTTCCTTGCCATGAAACAAAATATCCGATATACCCCATTTGTGATCCCAGACTTTTCCCAACATATGAGAGTGGACTGTAGCACTAGCTGGGGGAAGGTTCCCTCGTCTGATGTTGTCTGAGATGCTGTTTGATGTTGTCTAGAAAAATGTTGCGTCTTAATAGAAGAGCAAAAAGAAATGGTCTTGAAAGGATGTAATGCCACCTAGTGGCACTGAGTGACGGTTCAGCCCAGGCCGTTGGAAAGACGGAAACTTGGGGATGGGTTTTAGTTTTTTATCCTAGAAATTTTTTAAAAAGAGAGTGGCGTACCCTCCAGATACTCTCTGCTTCCTGCTGTAGGCATTTACTATCCTACAAGCGTGACTGGGCTGCCATGGGGTCCTCCTGGATCTCGCTGGCCCATCAATTCATGACTGGTTCTCCTGCTCAAAATCAGGATGAAAAAGTTCTAAAGTCCCAGGATGAGAAGAAACATGATTGTGTGATTTGACATAAGCCACTTTCAGTTTTGAATAAAACCTTTCAAAGGAAAAGGAAAACATGCCAATTCACTTAAAAGCCAACATCTAATTTTTCTGCCGATCAAATTATATGACTCTGAGATCTGATGACACTTACCTTTCATTGTCATTTTGCCCTTTGACTGTATTAGGAAGCTAAGTCATGAAAACTATGTTTTGAAACTGTAAATACATGGAAGCTGCTTTGATTCGTTTCAGATCTTACTTCTTGGCATGAAGTCAGACTTTGAGTCTGACTGACATGAATGGGCAGAATCAGTAAGAGCCAATATTGCCGCCGGACAGGAGCTGGGTCTCTTACAAACGGCCCTGCTCACACACAGCATCCTCAGGCAAACACCTGTCTTTGAGGGGCTGTTGAGTAAATATGCCTTTTACCAAAAGCTGTGCATTTTTCACTTTGGTTTTATAAAGGGGGCTGATAATCACTGGAACCTAGCCTAGCGCTGAGGTAAAGTTACAAGGCAACAGGTGCACATGTCTGCTCTTTCTGGTTAGTGAAGGATTGCCATTTGTTTTTTGCACACTTGGCGGGAAATGGAGTCAGGATAATTAATTGATTAACCTTGGTCCATCGCCTTCCCCAGTAAATGCACTTTATGCTGACACTACAGATAGATGGAGGCAAAAATAAGGGTTCAGCAAGCAGCATCACTAATGGGACCTCGGGAAGCCAGGGCAGGATGCTCATGGGAGCGAGGACACGTGAGTGTCAGCTGGGAGCTGCCAATCATTAGGTGCTGATGAGAAGCTCAAGGTTGGTTTGGTGGCTGGTCCTAGATATTTAGAAGCAGTGGCAAGCTGAATGCCTTAGACCTGAATTTCTAACCCCTTGTCCATAGTAACAGCCACTTTCCCAGAGACTCAGTCTGTGTTCAGAGCCACACTCATGCAGACCTTGTCTGCCTCTGCATTTGCAGGGCCATCCTCAGGAGGAAGGGTTACCCTGACCCCCTCCTCATTTGTCCAGAGTCTCCTTCTGCTCCTCGGAGCGTGAGGAAGATTTCTGTTTGAAGAGAGAGGCTCCAATGACCCCTAGAATCTCAGAGTAGTTGCCAAACTTTCTGTCAGTGAGATTTAAAAGCCATTTACTTGTGTTTATTTTATATTTAATGAGTTGGTTAATGCCAAAGGCAGGGCTGATGTCTCGTTTATTTTGGATCCTGAACCTTTGCACTCAATTCCACGTGAAATGTAGGATCAGGAATATAGACCATCACACGCCCTCAGGAAGATCCCCTTCAAGCTGCGGGCAATGGACCTTCACGGTCAGACCAAAAGATCCACGGTCCATGGGTGCTTCATTCTGGGTGGCAGCTTCACGCTGCAGTCTCAACAGAGTTACAAGCCCACAGCGAGAGATCTTGCCAAGGACCGCGTGGGAAAGTGTCCTCGGCAGGCAGCTCAAAGGCTCACTTTCCCAGCGATCCCACAGAAGAGGTTAGAACATCACAACCAGGGGATAAAAGCAGCAACTTCCACACAAGGGCCGAAGGAACTCAGGGCGGGCCAGAGGGAATCAGGCTGTCGTCCGGCAGCTTGAAGACCCTCCTCCTCCCGTCTTGCCCCCACTGATACGGGGATGGGGGGCGGAGCTGTGCTGGTGGGAGGTTGTTAGTTAGCTGGAACTATGTGTGGAGGCCAAGTGAGCTTGACCAGCCAGTGTGACTTTAGGAAACCATCTTTGAGGCTGTCACCAATAGTGACAACAGGCAGGTGTCCCCGGAACTTTGAGAGTGACAAATTAAAGGAATCTGTGGTGGCCGAGAGCGGGTATTTTAGTCACTCAAAGATGCCAGAGCAGCTCTCAGACCTGGCCTGGAAGTCTTAACAGGGTGCTGATACCATCACACGGCTCTTCCTTAAGTTTTCCTGGTCCAGGGGATTCTGAAAGTTGGCCTGGATGGAGGCTCCTGAAAAAGAATTCCATGGACCCGTAACTTTGGGAAGTCCTGCATGCTTCACTCCTCTTCCCAAAGCCCAGCAGCCTATAGAAGGGTCCGGAGGGAACTGCAGTGAAGAATTCTGGTTGTGTTTAACACTGCCCTCCCCGAAGGTCTATTTCTGGTCACTTTTTGGGAAGTGCGGCTCTGATCTCTGGGAGGAAGCCCCAGCCAGGGGCGAGCAGTCGTGATCCACAGCAGTGGTGCGTTCATGGTGAAGAAGATGAAGGACCTTCTCCATGTGGTGAGGGAGGCTGGGGCAGAAGGATGGGACTGGGGCTTAAAGGGTTAAAGGAGGTGTAGAGAGGGTGTCTCAGACCAGCTTTCCTACCACAGGTGTTAGCAAGAGGCACCCCATTTCTTTGGACTCATTTTCCAAACCTGCATTCATGGTTGGATGGGGTGGATCAAGGTGAGAGGCGGGAACGCAGACTCTAGTCCCGGCTTCACCACAGTACCGTGTAGTACGGGGGCTCCAGGACGCCCCCTGTGCCGGGCAGGGCACCCCACTTCCGCCTGCCAGCTTCACCTTTCCGCGGCAACTCCTCTCAACTACAGTTGCCTCCCAGCACATTAAGCACACTGACCCCAGGGGTCCAACTGCCCCTGACTCTATATATACATTCACTTTAGACTATGATCTCATGTCAGGAAGAATAGATATTATTTATTTCTACCACTTTCTTAGAAATGGACAAGTGAGTTATGATAGCATCTAAAGTTACTCAGTTTCAAGAAAGGGGAAGAATCTGGCTCAGTTCCACGATGTTCTTGGAATTGAGATAATAAAAATGTACCTGCGGCCTCCCTTCATCCGCACTGACAGCACTGTCTTCGGAGGGCAAGGCCCAGGCCACAGCTTTGACTATGATCCTGCTCTCCCTCAAAACACTGCTGATCGGGGACCGATGGGGCCACCTGGTCCCAAGCTCTTTGGCCCAGCTCAGAAAGAGCAGTCACCTTAATCAATTGTTAGTTTTCCTGGACAGGCTGCAGGTTCTATTAAGGATCAAAAGGGGTTGAGCAGTGACTTCCCATCCAACTTCTTCTGATCTAGTTGGGCGGGTCAAGTTCTTTCCTCTTGACCTATCGAATCTATTCACGCTTAGTTGTCCTCAGTCATGCTCCTTTACCTCCATAGAACATTCCAGATGACTCTTACCCCTACTTCCTTTATGAAGCTCCCCGCCCGATTCTTTCCCTTCTTCCTCTTTCCTTGCCCCTTTACCAATCCCCGACCTGTGTCTTCTCCAATCATCCAGATTCCAGGCCTCATGGAGCTCCGTGAATCTCAGTCAAGTCCAAGGTCAGTCTCTCTCTTTGGGGTTTGCTTGGGAGTACTGTAAATGAAACATTGTTGTCTTAATTACTTCTGGTTAGCATTTTTACACCTAATAAAGTCTCAAAGGGATGGCGTTTTCTTGGTGTAGGGGAGGGGCACCCTTCCAGATGACTTGCCAGCAATTAAAGCGGCTTGTTAGTCGGAGGCCCGGGACGGGGCCGAGGACAGCTGGAGAGCTCTTCTTTGCAAGCAGCTCTGGTTAACATCAAGCAGGAAAGCTCTCTGTAAACACATGAATAATTGATCGTCCCGCGCTCACATAGCTACCGAGCATCTGAGCCCATATGACTCATTTGCGAGCCATCCCTGTCGTCTGGATGCCATAACATTGGAGGAATGATGATCGTTTCTTGGAGATTCTTCTGTGGCCGGAGTTGCCAAGACCAAGGCTGTAATGGTTTGTTATGATGACCTTTGTTATTCCATTAGGCTCAATTGCTTTAAAAAATGATGTGTGCATACTTTCGGAACGTTTTTACCCTTTACGTTGACCTGACATCATAGTTTATA